CTGCAAAATGACTTATCCTCTAGAAATCCATCTACTGGCCAGTAAGAGTGCTGAAATATCAAGAGAGACGTTCAGTGAAAAAGCTAAGAAATATGACATTGGAAAATGTGGAGAGTAGTAACTATGTCATTTAGTGGCATTATCAGTTAAAAAAGGCAGGTTTTTTTTCCCAATAAGATGCCTATTTTTTACACCCTATAGCATAAAATGTTTCCTATACTCCCCGAGTATATATATCTACAATTTGTGAAGATTCTTTCACCATTGCATCTAAATTTTGTTATTGAATCCCACAGAAGTTATGATTACAGAGTCAGGGATGAAGATGATTTGATAAATCCCACTGAATGAGTTTTGAGGGAAGAGCATTCTAACCTTTGTAATGCTCTATTGCTTTTATAGTTGCAGTTATTCTTACATTCTAAACCAACATTGCTGGAAATCAGGCCAATGAAGTAATTAAAAGTTTTCACTCCACCAATGACGCTTTTATCACTCCAAAAGTGTCATCACACAAAAATCATCTACTGTGGGATTTTGTAAATACACAAGTCTCAACACAGATCCAACAAGAATTTTTACGTATTTATACAAATTGTTCCTTCTTGGGAGTAAAGATAGCAACTCAATCTGAATGGGGAAGCAAGCATAACCCAGTAGCTTTGAGTATGTTGAGTTCCAAGTGTCAACCTGAAAGTGCTCCTGATATTCATGCCCTATGGACATCTCACATCCTATGGAAAAACTGAAAAAAAATCCAAAACATTATTCATCTTATAGAGAGCAGAATTATGAGGACTGAATGGAAATTTTAAAGAATGACAAGGAGTCAAGGGAAGAACTGTTCACCACTCCTTTGTATATCGTATGTATGGTCTTATTGAAAGTCTGTGGAGGTAAATAATGCCTTAAGAAATTGGGAGCTTAAATCATCACTCATTGTTACCTGTTGTAGAGGAAGCAACTCTTCTAACAGAGGGTGGCACAGTTTTTAATTTAAAGTCATCCAGTGGAAGGGAAGACCTGGCTGCTCCCAGCTTCAGAATTCACAAATTACTGAGCAGATGTATTTCACTTCCTTTTTCTTTCTCAAGGAAAGGGCCAATGGTACCTACAGTTAAGACTACTAAGGAATTCTACTAATTGCACAAAATACTGACTGCTAGAGATTTCCCTCCACCTTAGATAACCATAATCCCTTTCTGTTTCTCAAGTAGCTTTTACATCACCATTATCATCAAAAGCAGCTCTCAGTAATCACTGAGCCATCTCAGTAGCACTGAGCCACTGGTGATCCAGTCCATGCTGAAATAAACAATGCTGTCTATGCTCTATGAGCTGAAGGCAGAAGGGTGCTTCTCTTAAATAGCTCAGCACTATGGTCACTGAGAGGACACTGCTCCAGAAGTCACACAGGAACAGCAGGTACTCTGTGGTGGGGAACAAGAGAAGCCAGATACATCCTATTCAATAGAGAGGTTAATCCTATTCAATTCAAGAGGTTAATGGGTGTAGGAACAGCCAACTCTGTGAGATTTACACGGCCATGTCTGAATGTCCTAAGAACTAGACAGAGGACTAAGCCCAAGTGGATAATTTGTAATACAGGAGATATTTACCTGATTTCAAAGTGTGATATTTATATGATGTAGCAGAGTGCACGTCAGTGGCAGAATCAGAAGATTCCCTATAGCAGTCTTATCTGGGAAGGTATTCCTCCCCTTAAAATTTAGTGAAAATGAAGAAGTCAACAAAAATTTTGCTTAAGTAAAGATCTGAAGGTTTGATCCAACCTGAATTCACATCCTTCCCATTGGTTGTAGTGAATCATGCAGGAGCTCCTAAGATTGATGGTTTAAACCTTCATGAAAAACCACTAAAGCCTTTTCATTTAGATGATGTTCTGTAACTGACACTCTTGGGCTATGACAGCTAATCTCTAGGAGGCAATGAAAGGCCTACCAGAAAATTTGGTTGAGGAAGTGAAAGATTTATTTTTACCAACTCAAAGGGCTAAGTACTTAAGGCTAGAGCAGAACAGCCCTTAGAGAGAAGAGTTTGTGGGCCCCCAGAATTTTCTTCTTCGTAATGACTCTCTGTGCTTCTTGCATGCTATAAAAAAACATTCCTTTTTGCATTTCAGCATATCTATTTCCTTTTATCTGTACACATTTCTCATTGATGCTAATAGAGAATGACACTGATGGGGAATATTTTTGCAACAGGGGGAGCATAGAATTGTTATTCTGGCTAAAACAATATGACTTAAGCAGAGTATTTAAAAGGCTTTACTCAAAGCTATGCAATTGAACTTGGTATTAGGCTTTCTCTCTTTTTTTTTTTTTAATTTTCATTGAGATTATGTCCATATTTTATCCAGGTTATTGTGTTCTTGTAAAACTATACTGCAACCCACTCTAGCACGTTAACAACAAAAGAAATTCTCTAGTTTATTATAAACATCTTTCAAGAAACCAAAAGCATATGTCCTCTGGAAATAATTTTGCTGGTATTTAGGCTATTACAAAAAAATTTCCCAAAACACTGGAATTATTTTGTAATGTTCCTTTACACTCTAGCTTGTTAGCTTAGGTTTTCTAGAATATTCTCCTGGTGCCCCAATATAGTCCCTTCCTTGGGTTGCACAGGGAAGCTACAGAAGTAGCCCAGAAACTTGGCAATTTTGTCTGTCTTTGCGGTAGTGATTACGTGGTGTGTGCCATCAATGAAAAAAAGATCTAGTGTAGACACCAGCTGTGCAATCATTATAGCTGGAGAGAAAAGGTTATTTTATCCTGCAGAGATTTAGCAGGATGATGGTAATTTTTTTTTAGCTCCAAAGCAGATGGAAAATTTAAAATCTGAGAATTTTTTGAGAATTAAAATGGGGCGACAAATCTGGTAAAAATAAAAAAAAAGTTTCATTTAGATGTATTTGATATGCCTTTTTCTCCGTATATTCTGCAATTTTTCTTTAACTTCAATTAGTTTAATTTTCCTCACAAAAAAAAAAAAAAAAGTAGTGTAAAAGCAGAAAGTATGGATTATTTTTTCCTGAGAATACAAAAACATAGGCAACTGTGTTGTAAAAGGAGGCAAAAGGAACAGAATTGGGAAACTGCTCTGGGAAGTGCCCTGGTCAGCTTTTGAATGTGCCTTTCAAACTGACTTTGATTTAGTTTACTTTGTCCCTTAATGCACTTTATTGCTAGGTGGGTCCATATTTGTTGGATCACTTTAACTTAAAACTAACTCATGTCCACAGATTGTGTACTTTCTGTGAGCTGCTACGTCTCTCCAGGTGCACTCTGAGGTGAAATATGAAAGGGAAGAGAGCAACATATGGGAACAGCTGCCAGACTGAATTCCAACAGCGAGGCATTAAAACAGAGTTTGCTGTCTGCATGCAGTGTGTGGATCCTCAGCTGTGCTAGGAGAGACAAAGCTGATTTCTTTGCTTGAAAAGGCTTTACTCCTGCTCACCTCCAAAGTGTTTGGACCTTGACTGGCGCTGCATAGCAGGAAGGGAAGAGCCAACAGCTATTTGAGGGCAATCCTTGGAATTATTCCAGAAAGAAAAAGTATCTGGAAACAGATTTCCTTCAAGTTCAGTAGGTGTTGATGTGCTTTACTGACCTATAGGAAGAGTCTGAGTGCTTTAACTGGTGAAAGCTTTTCCTAAGAGGGCTGAAGACTGCCAGACTACTGATGTGCCCAGGCACTGGGATTTACACAATGGCAAAGGGTGGCTGCCACCCCTGGTTCCAAATGCTCTCATCCGTGTCTTTGTCCTCTTAGCACAGCTTTGGCCTGCCACAATTACCTGTGTCAACATAAGGCCTTCTTCATGGAGTTTTAAAACTCTGCCTCTTCCTCTACCAAAGCCTGACCTTTAGGAGCAGAGTCTGGCCAAGGGGCAATCCCAGCAGGACCAGCAGAGGTACAACAAGCTTCATAGTCAAGCAGTAAAATTGCCTAAGATACTAGCTGAACTCTTCTAAAATACCGGCATTATGCCCAGGTATCCAGGGTTGTAAAAAGCAGTTTACTGACAATTGGTGTGAAGGTTCCCAGCTCTATGCCTCACCTAAAAGTGAAACCATCACACGGCATTTGAGTTATTCCAGTGACATAATTTTAGGCACCCACCTTCACCTAATGTAGAGAGTTGGTCTCTCTGGGATCTCTCTATTGCCAGAGAAGGAAAAAAGGATTCCCAAAAGGCAACTCAGAGCAGTAGTCTGAATTACCAGGAACATCAGGCTCTGACTCTAACTCCTCTCTCTTTCTATTGACTACATAGAGCATAGCAGGAGCATAGCAGACCACTGCAGCTATAGGTGAAGTGAGTTGGTATAAAACTGTGTCACTCTGTCACCACTGGATGTCTTGTCCAGGCACTGCTTTGTTAAAAAAGCAAAGAAACATCTCACCATCCATCTGATTTGTCTAGCGTGTATCTGCAAGGGTATTTTTCAAACAGAAACTCATAACCAAGAGAAGCTATTATATGAAGAGGTCTTTTTCCTTAGTATGAACTATATATATATGTATATATCCGTCTTATTCCTGCAATTCAAGGCATTTCTGACTTACATGAGTGAAGTACAGAATAAGGCTCCCCGTTTCTCATTTGAAAAGTCTCAAAAGAAATGTGAACAGTGCAGTTATGATTCTGTCAGTAGCTGGTATTTTTTCCCAAAAGACCAGCTGCCAGAAGCACGTGAGAATGAATAGCAGGTTTCCTTTAAGGACAGGCCAAGTTTGTAGACATGACCACTGTTAGAAAGTTTGAAAACATAATCTGATGTAAAATAATCCTCAAAATTAAAAGAACCAAGATAATTTCTCACTTGAAAAATTATTACTTAAAAAAAAAGGACTTGTATGATTTCTTTAAGGTAATTTATAATATCTGAACCTAGAGTTCTGGCAACATTACAGCACTTGTAATGAAAGAGAAGAATATGCAGAAAGTTATGTCATAGAAAATTACTCACCAGGATCAATTTTCTTTGAGGTTTCAAGAGCTTGGGCTTCGGGAAATTATTGGCAATTGGAGCTACAAAAATAAATATTAAGGGATCATTTTGTATTACTATCATTCACTGTCATTTTTAGTATATGCATTAGCAATTTATAAATGGCACATTATCATCAAATTAGAAGCAAATGCATCTACTGAGTTTAACCACATTTCATATTTTACAAGGAGGCATAATGAATGATTTGAATTAGAAAAATTCGTAAGATTAAAGAATCTGATATGCAAGACATGCTGTTTGTATGGGAACGCTAGAGCAAGTATACCCCCTGAGAACTGACCATCTGTGACCTAACAGGAAATCTTCAGGTCCTTTCCCTCCACTCTCCCACTGGCTCAGCACTGGCTCAGAAAGTACACCCAAGAATTTGTGAGACTGACCCCGGAGTTGCAAATCCTCTTGGAAAATGAAGTACCCTAGAGGTTGGTCTTTCTTTATCTGCTCCGTTTGCTTCACTTCCCAAGTGCACCAGCAGTTTTAAAGAGTGCAATGTGCTGGCTTCCCTCGGAATACCCCCAACAAGGAATTTCAACTTGCCCAACTTTAATCTTCTCTTTGAGCATGGTGCATATTGTTGCAGAGGTTCCTCTCTCTCCTCTAGTTAGTGGGAGCTGAGACCTCCTGCTTGGACTCATTAAGCAGCATCACAGAATGGCTAAAGCTGCAGGGAGGTGACAGCCTGTCCCAGCAGCAGCTACTGGGAACTTCTTCCCCCACAGGTGGGAGCAAGAACAGGCCACCTCACAGGCAGAGACAGTGGCAAAGTGCAGGATTCCTGACTTCCCATGCTCTGCTCTCCCTCCATGGCTGTGCTCAGGATTTGAAATACCTCTGTGCTCATACCTTTTGCTGGGATGGCTGGTGGCTGCTCCAGTTTCTCTTTTTCTTTCTTTTTCTTTACCTTCTTAGGCTGTAGAGGAGACATGCTGGTCACACTGGTAACTGTCTCCCCAGAACTGCAAAGCACAGGCCCAAAAGTGAGGGGAAAATGAAGTCAGTGGAGGGAAAGAAAGTTTATTCCTGTGAGTTCATGCAAACATGTCACCTTCCACTTGTGAGAGTCTGTGCCCAATGACCTGGACTGTGATCTGGATATATGAGAAACCTCTTACAGGGGTGGGAAATGCTCTGGGTTTCGCATTTTTTCAGCCATATAGTATGGCTGAGAAATGCTAAGAGTCTCACTCATCCTAGCATAGAAAATGCAAACTGTCAGGTTTAAACAAGACCCATTTCATGGCACCTATTCCTTACAAGCATGTATGACCCCACTGCTGCACCCAGGGTGAACTTCTGCCTGCCTGTCCTCGAGGGTCAGAGGCTCAGACAGATTACAATAGTTGCATAAGCTCCCATGGGATGTGTATGGAAAAGCAAAATCTTCAATGCAGATTCTAGGCTAAGATTGGCTGACAGACTAGGAGGGCATGCAGCATGTCTTCAGGCAGCACACAAACCCACATCTGCAAAATCTGTTTTCTTCAAGGGGACCAGTGTGTCCAGGGAATATAAAACAAGAAGCTGTGTTCCACTCTCTAACTCAGACTTTCTCCAGTACGTCTGTTCTGAAAAGGTGCTATGAGGGAAGAATACAAGTTATACTGTAAAGAGACTCTTATCCAAGAGAGCTTTTGTGTTTGGACTATTAGAGTTTAACATCCTTTAAGGCTGGATTTTTTTACCCTTATCACCTCCCAGAGGCTGAGATCAAAAATCCTGCTTTGAATATTCAGGGCTCAGATATGCAGTCAGGTTGCAGCGACTGTCACTGTGGCTCACCTGAGTGGTAACTGACCCTGCAGGGGCTCCCTGCTTGCAGGTAAAGGGGAATAAAATTGTACTGCTGACTTAAGAGGCAATGAAAGGAACCTTAACATACAGCTGTGGTGGGGGGAGAGTGTAAACCGTTTAGTTATGATGAATACAGTGATGGAGGTGACTTGGTAAGCAGTCCTTGCTCAGCTGCATCTGCCCCTGGGCTCACCCTGGGAAAGGGTCAGGCAGCATGGTTGTGGAGACCTTTCTCTTCTCTCATGTGGGTTCCACCACACCATGGAACACAACTGGGTCTCCACAGTCATAACAATGGCAACACTTATTCCACTGAACCTTAAGCCATTTGTCCCAACCTCCTGTTCCTCTCCAGATTCTTTTGTATAATGAAACATTCTCTTTATATTAATAGAATAAAATATTCAGACTGGGCCAAAGACTTCATGAAAGTTAAGTTGTCTCAGCTATTGCCCACACAAAAACAACAAAATTACAGGCATTACCATTTTACACAGTTGTAAATCCACATGAATGTCACCACCATTTGTAAAATCACTCTGAATTTACACCTGTGTGGATTACAAAAAGACTCTGGTTTGCTGGTTTTCTTGAGTTCTGTTTCATGTACTCAGTAAAAAACATAGGTTTGCTGCCAAACTTTCTAAAAAGTGTTTAAAAAATATAATATGTTCATGATTTATAAATAAATCACATCTTATGTAAACTGAGGGTTGGACTGAAACCATTTCTAAGTCTGGCTGCTCTACTATGAACCTATCCCACAACAACCATTTGTTTCTATACTAAAATCAAGACAAAATGGTTTAAAACCAGCAGAAAATGAAACTGTTCTACCTGGTTTCTTTGTACAAACAGCAAACTACCAAGAAGAAAGACTACCAACAAGGAGATGGGAATTATTTGTTTTAATGTTTTTGGGTTTAATAATCCAAGGTCATTAAGGCAGATGTGTAGCTTAAAGATGCTGCTGTTCTGGTACAACTTTAAGCACAATATATAAAAGGCTCAGTGTCAATTCATTGCGCTGAGTTATTATTCCTGCTTTGCCAGGAAAAGTGAAGCTACAAAGAAATGCATTTGAGACTTGCAGGTTTCTTTTAAATGCCAGAGCCGCACAGGGTTAACTAATTCTGGGAGATACAATAACTATACTTGCTGTCTTGGAACTGAGCTCCTCAAACCAAACAAGCAGGCTCAGAAAAGTCTCCTTGGCTCTGAAACACTGCCTCTTTGTGAGCTTGTCTTGCTCTATGTCTAAAGGAAAGTTAGTTTTTTTATCTCCAGCTCCTTCTTCAGCCACCCTGGCTTCTGTTTCAACAATGTCACGTTGTGCATTTCTTGAAGGATCTAATGAGTTTTTGAGAGCAAGAAAAATACAGGGGTTTAGGGAAGTAACCTGTGGAAGGTGTGTAATCATCATGGAACCAGGGCAGCAGTTTCCCTGGAAAACCTCCTTTCCCTGGAGACCTCCCTGGAGGTCATGGCTATTACAAGACCTGGGAAACTGCTACAATTTCGGCTTTGCTATCCTTACTAGAGTCTAGAATGTGGAACTTTTCCTGTTGTGATCTAAGTCAGCTATTTTCTCTTGTCATAGGTCTGCAGAGGGGTGACAAAAAATTCACTTGACTGAACTGGGAGTTACTTGGATATTTTCCAGACAGGAGAGCTGTGTGAAAAGGTGCCAGGGACAGCTGGGTTCTTGTTTCTTGTTCTATGCGGCAGAATTTGTTCCTGTAATGTGAGATTGGCACTGTGGAACCAAGGTGTAGAGATCGACAGTTTTCTGAGGCAAACACTTTATTTACCTCCAATTGCTTATCTCCAGAAGAACAGTCACTGAAGGACTAGAGAGTTCAGGCCAACACAAATAAAAAAGACAGAAAAAATGTTCCTGTTTTCAAAGCTTCACCTCCTGGGGGTTTCTGGATCTGAAAACTAGCAAAATGATCCAGTAACAAGAAAAATAATATGAAAAGGGGTATTTAAAGAAAAGAAAACACCAGGAAATGGAATTAGGTGGTTTGGAAAACTAAAAATAACTGTACTCTTTTATTTAGGTAGTTATTTTTAAAATGTGGTAAAAAAAAGTGGGTTTTGGTCAACTCAATTCTTTTTTCCTTAATTTGTTACTGGTCAAGTAGCAAACCAAAACCTAAATATTTGTTTTGTTATACTCAGGAAATCTGGATTTAATTTTCTTTTCTACCACGGCCATTTTGTGAGACCTGGGGCAAATCACTTATCCCGTTGTGCTTTAGATTCCAATTAAAAGTAAAAACATCATTCTGACATAAAATATTTTAACGTGCTTAGGTATGACTGTAGTGGGAATACAGACATTTCTTAGACATCAGACTATTAATGTAATCTTGAAACTGGATTCTACTCTGGGTTTGAAATATCACTAAGGGAGTTGGAGTTGAGCTTCTCTAATCAAGGCTGAAATGGCAAGAATCTAATGCAAATTAGTCAATCAGTTTGGCCTAATGGATATTTAGACAGTAGGTTTTGGGTCTAAGTGTGTTGAATTAAGTTCCAAGTCAAGGAATTTGTAGGTGAAGGGCACTGAGTTCAAAGGAAGTGATGGTTTGTGTTTTGAGCAGAGCATGGAAAGTAAATGGTACCAAGTGTGAAGCGTAACAATTATGATGCTGATAACACTTTCACAGCTATTTAATTTTAAACCCCGAATTAATGCACTTCAGGCATGCATTCATGTGATCGAGGATTTCATTAGCATAACTTGTCACACTGAAATACATGAAACTGTGTTTTTAGCCATACAGAGTCATGCATTTTTTTCACTTCTAGAGAACCTGTTTTATGGTGAAGAAATGACATTGGCTTTTTTTCTCCCTGCTATTCAGCCTCCTAAATTCAGTGTCTGCAGCACTATCACTGCTACATCACCTATTCCCAGAGAGTCAGAGATTGTAGTATGAGTTTTTAGCTGACTGCCATGCTCCATGAGTTTGGTCTCATTTTCCTTCTATGTTCCCTACCAATATACTTTTATTTCCTCCCCCTCCCCATTCTTTTTTGTTTGTGTTTTGTAATTCCAACTTTGTCCCAGCAGTTCCCAGAAAGGGGGAAAAGCAAAAACACACAGGAAAAAAATAAAAACTCCTGAGATGCCTCTGAAATTTTGGATGGTGCAATGGCTGGTCAAGGTCACAAAGATCTCTCCATGAATAATGTGAAAGTTTTGGGTTGTACTGGCCTCTCCTGAACCCTGTGCTGCTTTGTTTTGGTTTCACTTCCATCTGAGTACCAGTTAGATTGAATACCATGATAATCCCACAAAAATGCACTAAAAATCACACTGTTGGAGGATCTTGGGTGTGCTATATTTGGCATTGAATCCCTTAGTGTCTAAAGAGATTATGAGAAAGAGTATGTGATATCGAGAGGTATTGGATTTAAACTGCAAGGCTATAAACACATGGTTTCTGTCACTGAAAACTGGGAAACAGCTGTGCTTCTGTGTTGTTATGAGGCATCCCTCTTTCATCTTTTTTGTTTGTAAAATACTTGTCATATATTTTTACTGCAGTCCCAGTCCAATATACATACAAGGAAAATCATACAATAGAAATCAGTTTTACAGCCACACCATCAAAAACTTTTGGCAGCCGGTGGTATTTAAAGGGACAGTGATTAACACTGCAGCAGCAGCAGAATTTTTCCCATCACTTGGAGTCTTCAGCAGTGAACACACTGTGAGCCTTGAAAATCTACTTTTAAACCTCACTCCATTCCTGGGTGTGGGAATCCCTGGGAAACACTGTGATTTGTTTTATGTGCATGGACAGTTTAAGTCATTACCATCCCATGAGGTCCTGGGGAACTCTGGAAACCCACACAGAATGAAAGTAGGCTTCTTCAGAAATCAATTCAGAGCATCAAGGAGAGGCTGGTCACTGGAACACCTGCAGGACCTACAGCTAGCCCAGGAAGATCTCCCTTTTCATGCACAGCAGGCACATTCATGAGTCAGGGATCTGCAGCTCTTTATGTTCCCATAAGCATTTTGAAAACATTATTCCTGTTCTTCAGCATGCATAGCAAAACAAATCCAGAACTGGTACCTTGGTTTAGAGTAAAGAGATGTGTAATCTCCTACCTGTTCTGGGGGCATTTCACCAGGTAGTGCTTCACTGTTAAAGAAAAGAAAAAGACAGAAAATGTGGCTTATGATAGCTTATGAGTTTCAGATGGGCTCTGCAGACAGACCTGTGCTGCTGAGATGGTGGAGTTTCCAGGTTGTTACACTGGAAGAGCTAATGATAGTCACCATACATTGTATTGGGCTTTAAAATGCAGTCTGACTCAAAGACATAGCTGCTCTTGGGAGAGGGGAATGTGTTAAACAACACCAAAAATCTTCTGTGGAAATGCTGGGCAACACACATTCCAGTGGTCAGCCCAGCCAAAAGACAGCTTGCTAAGGAAAAGCACAGCAGGCCAGTAATTTTACTTCGAAGACTTTTATTTCCCTTGTGGTGCATGTATTTATTTCCAGAAGCCTGAAATAAACCATTCACCCACAGGAGCCACGACTGTTCCTAAGGTAAGTCAGATTGTGGCCATAGGCATAAAGGGATCCCTTCTGGGATCACATCAGAGGTCCAGTCCAGCCACCATCCTGTCTCTGACAGCTGTGTGTGTGAACTGTGTAAATACTCCTACTTCGTATTCCTTTGAGTCAGTAGTTCTGAGTAAGGGCAGCTGCCCCCACTGCAGCCTTTTAGGAGCCAGGGTTATTAAGGTGCTCTTTTGTGGCTTTGTGGCTTCTATGCCTCTCTTAAAGGACAGGCTCTGGTTCTTCTGGTCAACCTACTGCCAATTTATATCTCAGAAGGATGAGAGAGCATCCCTGGGTCGTGATGTGAAGTTGAATGCAACACAGACATGCCCCTCCCTTCTCATTCTCTGTTCTTTAAAGGACCATGAAAACCAGACAATGGGGCACTCACATGACTATGCCCCTCTCTATGGGAAAGTATTTAATATTTGGACTTAGCTAAATTCTCCCATTATAAAAGAACCTTACAGCTCCTAGGATGTGCATTTTGGTCCTAAGGAAATGGGTGCTGAGAGCACCAGGAGCTGGGATTAACACAGGGACAATGTTTAAGGCAGTCAAGGCAGTGCTTTGATCTACCTGTCAGGCCTTTATTAAATGTATAGGAGAAGAGTAGGCCTGATCCTTCAGGAGTAAGGGAATGCTCATGTACAGTGCTGACATGTTTTCAAGCACGCAAATATTCAGATATCTGGGTAGCAAAGAATGGCTTTAGCAGCTCAGAAGAACCTACTTTTTCTCTTTTGTATATCCTTTCTATATTGTATATTATTTCACTATTTAGCTGGTGTTGGTTCAGTGTAAATAGACCTTTCCTTCAAGCTGCTTGTATGCTCACAGCAGTAAATTGACAAAAAAGACCAAATTCCAACCCAATGTCTGCTCAAGAAAAACTGGGACACACCAGACTAGTGCTTGTGGCTTCAGGGTGACTCACCATGACCAACATACTTAAGTGTGGGTACTCCTTTGGCACAAAACCTTTGTCATCACTTAACAGGGTAGGAAGAATAACATCGATCTTGCTCCTTCCTCTTGGCAAGCAGAGTTGTTGGGTTCAGTTAGAATCACAGCTACTCTGCTAAGTGCACTACCAGGAAGATGGAGCCACAGCCTGAAATGTGTTTGTGGTCAGGCAAGGGCTTCTCTGTACATCTATTTCTGGCATACATGTCTTTTCACTTGTGTATCTGAGTCACTCATTCCTATGTGGGATCTGTGTAGGATGCAGAGGCAGCAAAGTCATGATTCTCTCCTGTCATTAACAAAGCAAGTCACTAACCAAACTCCTTCGGAAAGCTTCTGTTCAAAGGTGGTCCCTACACTCTCCTCTGACATGGAGGCTGCTAAGTGTGCTGCTGTCTCATCCTTGCAGCTTGTGTGAGGTCTCCAAATAAACCACTTTTAAACGGAAATGAAAGAAGAGCCTGCACTGTTACCCCACAGATCTGAAATAGCACTTCTGTTTACAACAACACGGCTTTGATGCAACCTCTGAGGCAAAGAATGAAATAGTAACCCTTGATCTTGAAATATTATTCTGAAAAGACAGATGTGAACATTGAAATGATGCTTTTGTTTCAGAAAATACTTCAAGTGAGAGAGTGCTAATAAAACCCCTCAAATTCCCAGGAATATTGACAGCTACTCAAGAAAGGAGAATAAAATACCAAAGTTAAGATTGCTTTGAAACCCTTCTACATGTTTGGAGAAACATGAATCATGCAAAATTTTAGCTTCTGGTCAGAATTGAACTTAATAATTCATCACTTGGTCTCCTTTGAAAGAAGATCCAATTACCTTCAACTTATGTTTGTGCAAAGGCAAAAGATTTTTGAAAAGTCCAGAGCAAATTTAAAGTTTTATTTCCTTCCTATTTAAAGGAAATAAAATGTCTTTGTTCTAATTTGGCTGGCAGAATTTTTTTCTTCCTACCAATTTTATCTGAAGTAACAATCAAGGCAAGGAAATATTTATTTTTCCTGCTTTCTCTGCATTTTCTTTTCCCCTCCCCCTGCCCCACTTCTTGTCAAGGGCTTTGTAGTCATGAGGAATGGCAATTTGCTCACCTGTGGATCTCTTCTTGTTCAGAAGTGACTGACAGAGAATGACAAGTGTAAAAAGGAGAACACTGATGATTCCTATGGAACACACAAACACTGCGTACACGTACAGATCTGAAACCCAAGCACAGATAATGGTCAGTGTTGCAGCTGATGCTTCATGATGATAGGGCAGAAAAAAGTTACAAGATCTAAACAGACTCTGGCCAGAGGATTTAGTGTAACAGTTCAGAAACAGTTTAACCCTCCTGAAACTTACCTATAGTATCCTGCTCAGTTTAAAATTTGATTGAAGTCTGCATAAATGCAAATACGTGTAACTGCACTTGAGTTGAGACTTTCAGGAGAAAACAAAGAACTGGTTTGGGTTTTGGGGATTTTTTGAGCAACAACTCAAAACCCAAAAGGACTTCAGTTGGGTTATTTCCCAGCTCAAACATCTGTACCTTTTTTTTTTGTGTGTGTAACAAAAGGAAACAAACACACAAATGATGAAACAAGTGGGGAGAGTGCTGAGTGACTGGGGAAGAAGGAAGAAAGTCTGCAATTGCTTCTTCTGCTGGCAGCACTGGCTTGAAATTTTTGTATGATTATTTTTTCTTTTTCAAACTACAGCCTTAGTCTCCCTTCATGGCTTTTATTGAGGTGTTGTGACATATTTCCAGCTGTTATTTTTCAATTGGCCATAACAGGCAAACAAGAAACTGAAGCTGGACTCTTCCATTCTCTTTTTCCCAGTACCCCTTGTACTTTTTGGGATGATTTCTCAGGCAAGGCTGGGTTTTCACAGAACTAGCAAAATTGGTCCTGATTTGGGGCACTTTAGTTGTCCCATCCATTGGACTAAACTAACAGCATGTATAAAAACAGTAGCAGTTAGATGTGTCTTTACCTTCAAAAAACTTCCAAGCTTCATGGTTTTTCTTGAAAGTGGGATGATCAGAAGATTTTGATGAAATCACTGGAAAAAAAAAAAAAAGAAGACATGACAAAAACTGGAAAATATGTGGCATAAAAAGTTTGAACCTCTTGAAGCAAATGTGTTCTGCCTTAGACTTCAGTGCCCCAAGACCTTGCTTCACCCAATTGCCTTTTGATGAAACAGTTCAGCTGCACAGAATTGTCCTCTCTGTTTCAGGAGGATGCATGACTGTCAATATCATTACAGCTGTACAGCCTAGAACCAGAATCCAAATTCTCTGACTGCTGAAACATTGTTCAAAACCCCCTCTTCTCTCCTCAGCCAGATTGTTTATGCATGCTGACACTTTTTATGACATCAGATTAGATGATGTCACTTATGCCAATTCCATGATTTTTCTTCCTCTAGCGATCACTGCAATGAAATGGGAGTCTGGTAATGTCCTCCGGATTGCCAGTGAGGTCTGAACCTCCAAGAGAGCTTCATGTGGCAAATCATCAGAAAACGAGTATCTTACTGGCAAAGGAATTCCTTAAAGAGTGCCCTGCAAGGATGTGAAGTGTGGAGCTAGATCAATGGATATACAGCTTTCAGGACTAATGAAATCTCTTCAGTTGCGATGGGAAGCTCATCCTGAATATTTTAACAAATTACTCATTTGCTACATGGAAGCACGACATGTGCAGAGTTTTGGCAAGTATTTTGTGATAACTTCCCTGAAAAAAAGGCTTTTGTTCATTTTGGGAAAAAAATAATCTTGGATTCCTATATCTTGCAACATTTTTACTATTAGAAAGTACCACATGCAACTAATACTTAAGAACTCAGACCTTCTTCTATGGGAAATTTTCTTAAATAAACTTCCCAACAAGACAGATTGTTGTGATCATCTACTTGTTTTTGTGGTTCATGCCATGGGATTATAGTTGGACTGCCTAATTTTCTATGTTTGACCTCCTATAAGTAGTCTCTTCTCCTGGACTGTAAACCATTTGGAACATGTATTGCTCCTCCTAAGAGATGTGCAGTATCATGAGGGATTGCCTGATTGTAAATGATGTTTTTGGGGTGCTGAATACTGTTCTGAGAAGAATACTGATTATTTTGAGTTTTCTGATAGGGAGTAGAAGAACCATCTTACTGATTTTTATTTTTTTTTTGTCTCTGATAAACAAGTTTCTTGGTGTATTCTCTCCTATAATTAACTTGGTTTTAGGTTGATATTGATGACACTGAAGTCCAGGAAAGAAGGAGATGCATTTAATGAGAATATGGGAGAAGGAGAAAAGGGTGACCTTATCTTTGACAGAAGACACTGCATGGCTGGATTAGGAGACACTTGGCAACATTGGCACATGATTTTTGTTGGTTTTACTAACAAGATATAACAGTACCGTTCTTATAAATGCTATCTGATGTCTTGTATTCACAACACTGAAAGGGGCAAACTGCAACAGTTCAAATTTCAGGTGGACCTTCTGAAAACACTACAGAGTTGCTGTAGTTGACATGAGTGCAGGAACAGAAACTGTAAGGACTCCATCTCCACAACAGGGCTTCTTTTCCAAAGAAATGTATTTTTTCCCTAAAGGAGAAGCCAGATATGTAGCTAAAATTTAACTGTCATCATTACACAGTAAGGAATTATAGCCTGTAACTCAATTAATTTTTCTGTAAGTCCAATATGTGTATTTGTACAAATTTGTGTTGCAACAAAATGTATTTGAAACTTTTTAATGGCCTGTGCAAATTTACATGAACAAACTTGCTAGCAAATAACAAAATCTGGATATAAATGAATAGCAGTAGATACTACAGATCCAGCTGTCAACCTGCTTCAAGATCAAGTCATATTTTGAAGAAGCAGAAATATCCTTTTCTCCCTAGAAATCTGTGTCTTGCACAGTAACCTCCTCTTCCTGTGTGAATAAATAATAAAAAATAAAGGACTGTTCTATTTCTGCCTCTGCTTGATAGGCAAAGTTTTAAGAAATTTGCCTGGTGCTTTAGCCTAAAGATACTATTTTGAATTTGGGCAAAATTCAAAATGGAACAAAATGTTAGGCAACACAACAACAGTGATGTGATGGAACTCTGGTACCTTATTTGATAAAGCACAAGCAGTACAACTTAAGTATCCAAATGCTTCAGGCAATTTGTATTGCTCCTTTTGTTGCATCCTGGGTCTAACTGTAATATAAGTAAATCCCTTTGCAATAAAAAGTGTAACTGATCATAATATAAAATACAAAATGTGTTTGGAATAAAATTTCCTTGAAAAGCCCAAGTGTTACTGTTGGGAAAACTGGAAACTTTGTCAGTACTTGGAAAAGAGTTACCTTCCCTCTCAAATGCAGCAAGTACCATACATTCAGGGTGCATTATGCTAGCAAAGGTGGTCCTTCGTTTCCAGTCATGAGGCTTTAAGTGGTAAAACAGTCGCTAAGGCATTTAAAGATATGCAATATTTCAGGTATCTTTTGGTATCTTTAATCTGGATTTTGAATTAGAATAAATATGCTTTTAAGCGGCCAAGGTGGTTGTGGTGTTTGCCTCAGATCCCCACAGGGTGTCTACAACTCTCTACAGGCTGGCCAGCCTTCCTCGCTTGCCTCAGGATTCCTGCTCTGCTTTGGGTCATTTGAAGTGGAGAGCAGCAATACAGCTGAGCAGACAGTGTGAAAATGATGAAGTCATGAGGTCTCAAATCCCTATTCTGATTATATATTCATGACTCATACTAGAAGTCTGGGGGAAAATATTATTTAAGAATTGGACTGAAAAATTACAGATTCCCTTCTTTCCAATTCAACTTCATTGATCTTAACTCCATAGTTTAGCTGTAAAAAGTAATGAGAAGTTTCAGTGTTATAATTAGCAAGAGTGTGAGAAGCTAAGAAAGATGTGTAGTGTCTCTTTGTGAGGAGGTGTATGACAGGTGGCATGATAATATTTTATACTGCTTTTTCTTTTTGCTGCCACTTACTTGGAACATTCCATTCCCTCTCCAAGAACTCTGGACAAATCCATATGTTTCACTACAGGCATTTAGGATCTTACATCATTGAAAGAGAAAACACTCTACACTGCTTTCTGGCATTATCTTCAGAGTTATCCCTGTGAGAAATAAACTTTTCTGTCTATAAAGACACAAGCAGGGGGGTAGTTTGCCAGATAGCACTGATGGCACAGCTGCTAAACAAAACTACCTCTTCAAAGGAGTCTGTTCTCAAAATCCATCTTCACTCATCTCTGAAAGTGTTGGTGTGGTGGCATAAAGTTTGAGCTAATCCATCCCAAAGAGATGGCTTGTTTTCAGCTTGGTTCCTGTCTGCCACTTGTTGCTGGTAACTTTATCCAAAGTTCAATACCAGCAGGCTGGCCATTGCTTTTCTAGCTCTGCTTTCTGGCTGCAAATGGTCTAAACAAAAGTACTGAAGTAATAGTGGAAGTGCTACTTACCAAATGCTGCTAGACAAGAACTGAGAGCAAGGGAAACACCAAGAGAGAGGCAAAACATAAACTGAGTATTAGGTTTTCTTCTCCTATCCACAGATTAGACAAATATACTCATATATATATATATATATATACATATATATATATATATATATATACAAATACTCAAAAATAATCTAAGTTCAAATGTCTTATGGATGAATTTATAAGAAATAAGAAAGGCATCACAGAACAAGAAATTATAGACTTGAGATCAGTAATCACTCACCTCTTATTTCAGTAGCTGCTGTACCATTTGACCATGCTGTCCACTTATTTCTGTGTTTGCCAATTTCCTGTACTTTGCATATATAATGTCCTTGATCTGTTTGCTGGAGGCTTAAAATAAGAAATTTGTACAGAGTTCCATGTTTCTCTTTAAGAAGATGAAGTCTTTGCTTGTGAAAATGCTGACTGTAATTTCCATAATACTGGACAGATCCAAACTTTGTCATTTTGATCATCAGATGCTCCTGGGTAGGTGATGCAGCGAAGACCCACCGCACAGCCAGCAAATTGTCTGTCTTTCTCTTTTGAGAAATGTGGCAGTAAAGGGTAGCATTATCCCCCTCAGAGAATTGCACTCTTGGTCCAGGAGAGACTGTCACATTTAAAGCCTCACAAGCATCTGTAAAGGAAAGAAAAGATAGTGAGAATCCTCTTTACTGGCACAACAGCACCACAATCTGTCCCAGCGTGCAAGCCCATGTAAACTGATGGTATCTGTTTTGTGCACAGCAATTTAATGACCCTGTAGAACCTGACATCATCTGCCTCTCTCATGGCACGAGGCCCTCCTTTAGGTGAGTCTGCTCACAGCATTGTTTCTGTCACTAATCAGTAACCTAGAGCTGACATGCAGACCTTGCAGCCATCACAGGACCAACTTTACGTAATCTTTTATCAGTGTGAACAGTTTTGGAAAGCTGTTCTGTGACCAGATCTTCTGATGGATTGAATCCTTCTTAGGACTTCCAGCCTAAATGGTTTCAATAGCCAGTTTATGCTCATTTGTTCCTGTGCCAGCTTTAAGCTTAAAATAGCATTTTCTTCTCTAGAGCTTACTTCCTGATCCCATATACAAAGCAATTGTCTGGCCTCAGCCTTCGCTTTGTTGCACTAAAGAAGACAAGCTCTGTTAGCGTCCTCTAGTAAAGTACTGTCTTCCCTATTCACCCTAACAGCCCTTCTCTGCATTGGTTACAGCTTAGATTTTAGGTTTGATTGTAATTAATTTATTATTTTTCCTATAAAGGACTGCAGACACGGGCAGTATCTGGAAAGAAATTCTCCAATGTCCTATGGAATACTCACAGTACTTCTCAGATTTGACTAGGATATATCTTGCCTGGTATATCCCAGAATTATCTTGTCCTTTTTCATAATACTTTCATATGTGATTATGTTTCAGATTATAAATAAATAGCATACTTGTGTGTTTTCCCTTCTTTGTCATTTGTGGTTCAGTTACCAGTGTATCAAGAAATTCTTACTAATCCCCAAGAATGCGACTTTGCAGTACTAACTTCTGTTCCACTTCTGTTACCCATCCTCAGTTTTTCCTATGTGCTGTCCTTGCCTTATGCTAATTTAATAAGGCTACAATTTCAATGTGCATGCTCCTGTCTACTTCTTTCAGACATCATTTGTGCAGACCTTACATCATACTGTTCCCTGGATTATCCCTGGAAGACCACTGAATTCTCTATATCCTACAGTTACCCATGTTCTCTATTTTAAGTAATATTCTCCTTGTCATAATCAAATGGTCATCTCAAACCTGGGTTAAATCCATCAGACTAGTTTTTCTGACTACAAATTCAAGTTTATCTGACATTATTTGCTTGACAAAATATGACATGAGATTGTATCAGGACAAATGATTATTCCATTGTTCCAATAATTTCTGATTCTTGTCTTTAATGTTCTTCATCCTATACCATCACATAGACCAGGTCTTTGTCTCTTAGCTTTACTTCTAATAATAGCCAGTATAGGTGAAGGCTGAAAAAAGTGTCCATAGCTGTTCATTAGAGGAAGATTTCCCTTTCCTGACCTAACTGATTTATACTGGACTGGTTTTTCGAGGCATGGGACTCAAGACTCATTTTATTCCCTTCCTACTGCACATTAAGAACGTCCTGATTAGTCATATCAGAGAGTGATCTATTTTTGACCAATGGTGTATTGTGGCAACGTGTTCCCCAAATGACTTGTGATGTGTAAACCACCAGTCTGAGGGCATCCACTAGAGAGAGAACCATATTCCAGCAGTGAGCAAGCACTCCCTGCAATGAATCTGCAAAGCATGAAATGTCCTCTAAACTGTGAACTTCCTGTTATGTGAATACCGTACTGCACTCAGATACTAATGAGAATTGCAGCTCTGGGAGAATGATTTTTCATTTCTGGACACTTTTCTAGCACATCAGCAAGGAACATTTTAACAAAGGGGATGAGCGTTTTGGCAGAGACTATTGTCTGACATCAGCTCCTGAAACACAAACATATATTTATCTTCAAAATAAGCAAGTAAAGTATTCCCATTCTATTTCTGAAGGAGTTCTGGAGACAGAGACACTGGTTTTATAGTCCCAGTGAAGCAGTGAAATGAAGTAGTGAATTGTATCACCTTACTTACAGCAAATCCACTAAATTAAAGAAGTTGTATTGCAACTGTTTGAGAAGAATTCTGAAAATTAATAGTATGAAAAATTATTTTGTGCCACGTCAGTCAAAATCTCTACTGAATTGCATGTTTATTCCAATAGATGTCACTTTTTTGTTATGGAGAAAATATTTCGTATATAGAAGAGTTTGGCTTTTTTAAAAAAAAATCTTGAAGAAACTACAGCTAAGTGTGGATGAGGTTATTGATAAAGTTATTTGTGCGTTATGTTTGTGTCTGCAATTCACGTAAATGCCAAAGAAAGGTTATTTAGGATTGTAGAAAGCATAAGTAAGTAGCACAGGACTTTGAAATTTAAAATGAAGGCTGAATCCCACCAAAAGCTTTCCAGGTATGAAACTTCAGTTATTACTCTGTGGACTTACTGGCCTTGGTGTTTTACTGGCAGAAGGGAAGCCAGTAAATGGCTGTCTCTGCCAGCAAAATAAGATTAAATTTTGAAGGTTGTGTTGCTTAGTAAATAAGGATTAACTTTGAAATTTTCAACACTTTTTGGGGTCCTCAAATGTACTTAGGCAATAAATGTTTAATAAATCATTTATAAAATTATGGTTTGGGTACATGAAGAACAGAGATATTTTTTTTCTACTGAAATTATGAACATGTCGTGAAAACTGTGAAGAAAAACAATTATGTCATTTTCCTGACATGTGAACATATTTTTTGAAAAATCTGGCTAGGAGTAATCGTGAAACAGAGTCCCAAAATAAAAGGCAAAAAACTCAGTGCTTAATTCCAAACTAGGCCGAACATAGTGCCAAGAAGTACCCAAGAGAAAATACAAAGGAAGTCAGATATGGTGATGATGGAAGCCTCTGTGAGAAGATAAAGCAGCATTGTACACGGAGACTCTGATCCCTTTCTAGCTGTTCACATTCATACAAACATTATTGGTTATTTTATACCTAAGGCTTCTACTTTTCCTCTGGGGACATGCCTTTTTATAGGGACATATCAAATTTTGCATCCTTCATATTTCTGATCAATGGGAACCTATCTCCTCATCTTCCTTCTGTGGCTCCCATTGGTGCAGCTGCACAAGTACAGCATTGGGGAAAGTTTTGGAAATCTCATTCTGCTTTTATCATGGTATCAGCTCATGTTGAACAGGTTCGGGTGATGCTTTATATAAAGCAGAAAAACAGTATCCATTTGACTTTATCCTCCTAATGCCACTGGACAAGGAACAATGGATTTTGAAGGAAAGAGTTCATTTACCTCCTCCTATGTGGAAAGGAAAACCCTCATTCAAGGCTCTCAGACACTAGTGGACATGTTCCTCCTGTCTTTAGCAGGCACTGGTCAGCCCCAACATGAGGTTTACTCTTGTAATGGGCTCCTTGCCAAGAGGAGGAGACTTCACAACTTAAGAGCAGGCTTGTGTGCCACCATAGCACTGAATTTCTAGACTTCAGATTGCTGTTTGAAGTGAGGAATCACTGTTTATCTTCTTCTGCCTTCCCAGCATAGTACGATGTAGCTGCTCAGGTGGAGCTCACCACAAGAGTTTCAGTCTTATTTCTGCTTGAAAAGGGAAATTACTTATAGGAAGGGGGAGGAGAGAGAGAGTCAGAGACTCGGTCATTTATTTGCAGCATGCTTAACCATCAAACTTCTCTCCTTTTTGCAATAAGCTTGCTGAGTTGCTCCCATCCCTACATTTTAGCTGTGTGCTTCTCTGGTATGTTCCACCAGCATGCGTCAGTAGCCTTTGGGGAGTCAGGAAAGGTGACTACTGCCTAAGCTCTGTTTTAAAAAATCCCACTTTGAAAATAGCTCACATCTGCTTACACCAGTTCAAGAATTAGCCAGATTTAGACTTTGCTGTCTGCCATATTACACAACAAAACACTTTGACAGCACTGTCAGGAGTACCAAACTATACTTCTAGCACCCAGAAACTTGTTTATGCCAGGACCTCTTCCCTCTGTCTGTGCTGGAACAGTGCCAAAGGACTTACAGTGGCCACTGGGTCCTTACATGTGGTAAGCAGTTTCAGCATGGCTGTGGTTTTGTGGGAGAGCCCCAGCTAGATCAGTTGAGATCAGAGTGGAGCTGTTCCTGTGCACAACTGCTCACAGCCCAGGGTCAGTGCTGTACACGGGCCTCTCTTCCCTCCTCCACGGAGACAACAGGCAGAATCCACATCCCAACCTCCAGTGCTGCAAGAACTGACAGCTGGCGGACTGGGATATCTGGGGGGCTAGAGGGGCATGCAACTAGGGTGGCTACCTTCTGATCTCAGCTTTGCATGACCAGAAGCATATAAAGGGATGGCTTTTATCTGTGCTGTAGTTTGTTCAGTGAAGCTATGCTACTGTCAAAGCCTGCTTTAGTTTGATTTCTTTACAGTTAAAAAGAGCAGATGAATCAGGAAGAAGCAAAGCTCTTTGTTTAAATGAAAATAATTAGGAGCTGGCTAGCAAGAGCACCAAAACACAACCAGCTGCTTGCAGTTGAACAGACCTGTCTGCAAGTTTCACAAGTCAGAGGCTGCCCCTCAGAGAAAGCTTCTGCACTGACCAATGATGGATTTGAACCAAAACTCTGCCTCCACCATCTCATGCCCTTCTGCAGTGGAGTTCAAATTCGACTCTTTCATCAGCCTTGAATGAGCTAGGCATCCTCACTCCTATGAGCCCACTGCACCTGGAAGTTCAGATCCCGACTCTGGGTCTGTTCTGCAGTTTCAGGACACACAACGCTGTCCAATATACCTCTTTTTTGGAGGCACAAAGGTCTTAAAGGGAGGACGCTTTTTACAAGTGACCCACAGGTTCCATTTCCACCTGATGCAGGATCGGGGCACCTGCGGAAAAAACAATCCCAAATCTCCTTTTGCTTCGGCTTTGCCTGGCACAGAAGACGGCCGAGGACTATTTCCATGAACTTGCATGGGAAGGGCTTACTTTTCTAGAAAGGACCCGACAGCTGTGAAGAAGCTGCTGCCGGGAGCCGGGGCAGGGCCGGCGGAGCGGGGCCGGGACCGGGCGGCCGGAGGGGCTCCCCGGGTGCCTGCCCCGAGCTCCGGCCCAGCGCCCGTCCCGCCCGAGCGCGGCGCTGAGGGACCCGGCCCGCCGAGGGACCCGGCCCGCCGAGGGACCCGGCCCGCCGAGGGACCCGGCCCGCCGAGGGACCCGGCCCGCC